AATATTATAAAACAAAATTAAAAATAAATAAAACTAATTTAATCATATAAAATTTTAACTCTTGATCTTTTCTTAAATTAAATTTCTTTTAACCGTCTCTCCTTGTCTTCCCTAAAAGCTTCATAATTCTGATACTAAATGATTATTTATAAGATATTAGAATATCCAATTGACATATACGTGGGACTCATATCAAGATAATGAAGGCAGGACGACGGATTCGGTGAAAATCGCACAAAGGTGTCGACCGCCGGATTTGGTTTAGCTTTTAATTTTTTAAAATCTTTTTATTATCTTAAAAAAATGTAATATATTAATTAAAATAAATATTAATATATTTTATATATTTTTAAAATAAAAAAAAAATTAGCTACAACTCATCCCAACTTTCTTAAATGAAACCCTCAATTTAGCTTTTACCCATTTAGAAAATAAGTACTTATGTATCCATTTAATCCAGTTTATTTTAGCTCATATGTAACATTTTTTAACAATGGCAATTGTCGAGGAATGGGGAAGGGATTTTGAGTGTGGCCCGTGGGGACCCACACCTAGTGCTAATCTATGGAATAAACCACTTTACTCTCCCCTATGGTTCGCTAGCTCAAATGTAAACTTGCAAAAAGACACGATCTAACCCAAACCAACCCGAGCTCTTGTTTTTCATGTTGATCACGCAACAATCCAAATTTCTTTTTGTCCTCGACTTTCTTATATTACAATTTTGAAACTCTAATCCCACTTTTTACACCATAGCCATCCGAAACTATAGTCTTTAATATTGCCCTCGAATTAAGCAGTGAATATTTTCCCTTGGCATACAAGGAGTTATTTCGTATGATATTTTTATAAATATTGAATAAATATTATATATTAATATATATTAAATTTGTTTGTTGAATTTTAATTATTTATATATTTTTTCTTTAATAAAAATGAGTATTTTTATGAAATTACGAATTTTAAATATTATATAATTATTATTTATTTGACATATGTTTGAATTTCATATATATAATTAAAATTTTTTTTAAAAAATTGAAATATGAAATAAAAATTAATATTTAATAAATTTTTTAAATTAAATAATTAATATTAAATTTTATTAAAAAATAAAAAAATATAAAAAAAATTTAATTTTAAATTTAATTTTTTTAAAAAATTAAATTTATCGGACCTATTTCAAAACCCACGTGAGTAAGTCATAAAAAATTTCTTTAACT